AGACGCAGGAGCCTACAGTTCAGCCTCCTTTGTCTACAGAGCAGGCGACGCCAATATCAGCAATGGGCGAGCCCGGCTTCTTTCTTGACGTTTGCTGTGGAGCCAATGCCCCACTTTCAGAACAGCTGCGACTGTCAGGTATTCAATGTGTCTGTGTTGACGCACTGGGCTCAGAGCCGCTTGATCTGCTTGAGGACTCCACCTACGACAGTATTCTTCGTCTAGCTTTTTCAGGGGTGGTACGGATGGCTCACGCTGCCCCACCATGCAAGGAGTACTCCCGCTTGAAGCTCAGACCAGGTGGCCCTTCGGCCATTCGGAGTCCGGAGTTTCTCAATGGTTTTCCGGGGAATACTCCGGAACAGCAGCAACGGGTCATCACGAGTCAGAAACTGATGTATCGCTCTGTGTGCGTACTACGCGCTGTCTTTGCGTCAGGAGGACATGTCTCCCTGGAACAGCCAGCCAACTCTATGGCCTGGCTTGAACCTTTTGTTCAGGACTTCCTCTCGGAGATACAAGCCACGCTTTCTGTGGTTGCAGCCTGTTCAGTGGGCCTGGATGTGTCGAAGCAGTGGCTGTTTGCTTCCAGCTTTGCTTCCCTTAAGGCTATGGCGGCTACATGCTCCCACAAGGCCAAACATGCTTCAGTTATTGGCACGAGAGACGCGCAAGGGAACTTTCTGTCCCAGCGCACCGCGGCATATCCTACCGCTTTGGCAGTGCACTACAGCAAGCTTGTGCAACCACTATTTGACGGCTACTGCATGCCTGATCGGCTTGCACTGTGTTCTCTCAGCTTCGCTCTACAACGTATACCCCGCAAAGGACGCAGTGCACCCGCTTTTGGTGCTCAGGACGGCGGTGGCATCTACTCCACCCCGGACTGGTCCTACGGCCCCAGATACCAAGCGGATCTGTTGCATGACATGCGTAAGGAGTGGCAGCAGTGGCTTTTGGAGAAGCATATCCCCGCCAGACTCGCTCAACATGTCTCAGAGCATCGCGAGTCACCACTTTTCTCTGAAAGCGAGAAGGCGTGGCTTC